AGTGCTGATAGGTACCAAATACATGTCAGAAATGTATCCGATAAATATCCGTATGTCAGTATTCGACATGTATAAAATATATAATATATTAATGATGGTCATTGTATCTACACACCTAATTTAATATATAATAATATATCAATGACAATTATCGTTTAATACAGGATTTTATGATATTTATCATAGTATTTTAGCAGTTCATTGTATATGGAATCAAATTAAATATAATATTTATTTATTAAAAAAATATTTTTTAAAATGTAAAAATTAATAGTCATTTTTCATTATAGGTAGTTTTAATTTTTCTAGCGAATACCACTTTAAAACAATTTAATTTTTGCATCTTTTCGGGATCGAAACTGTTTTAGTAAAATTATTAATTATATATTAAATATATAAAAATTTATTATTAATTTTCTTAAAATTAAAAAAAGCTTACCTTTTAGGAAGTTGATAGAAATTTTTTACTCTTCATTTTTTGAAATAATACTAGGGAAATGGTAAGTCTTTAGCGATAAGCCACGTGATCAGTATCTATAACCTTTTTTCTAAATTTAATTTTTTAATTAATTTTTTTTTTTTTTTCCTATTTTTTTTAAAAAAAATGTAATTTGGTATCCATTATCAATCACCAGAGGCCAGAATCTATTTGTTATAGAGAAAATAAATAAACTGTTAACAAAATCATTTCTTAGAAGATTCCAAAAATACATTCAAAACTTACCCAGGTTCAAAATTCAGAATTCCGGGATCTATAAAAAAAATTGAAACATTAATAAAGCAATTCTTTAATAAATATGCAGTTCTTTAATAAAATATAAAGCTTTAAAGTTTCAAAATATTGAAACTTACCATAATGCTATCTGTCACCCAAGGATAGAAGGCCAAAACTTACAAAAAAAAAGGAAATGTTAGTAAAACGCTTCCTATAAGAAGTTCTGAAATATCGAAACTTACATATCGTTCGCCAAAAAATGAAGTCTGGAATCTACAAAAGTCAAAAAAAGAAATGTCTTAAAGTAAATTCTGAAACTTCAACTCAAAAAAATTAACATACCATCATTATCCTAAAAGCTGTAACCTACAAAATCAAAATCAAAAAAAGGAGTCAGCACATTTCTTAAATTCAATTCCAAAATTTCACTCAAAAACAATAGCTTACCGCGTTTTAAAGGAATTCAAAAATATGGAACCTGCATAAATTAAAAAAAATGTCAGTGCGTTTCTTAAAGTCAGTACGTTTCTTGTAAGTAATAGCGAAATCATTCCCAACTTATCTCCAAAAGTCCTCACCAGAACATAAAAAACAAAAAAGTACGCTCCTAGCTAACACTAGTGAATTCTCCAAATTAAACTAACTTCTGTTTTTTTTTTAACTCAGGCTTTCCAGTCTTGTTACTTCTGTAAAAAGAAAAAAAAAGGAACGTTAAGAACTATTCATTAAAATAAAAAAAAAATTAAAGAAAAAAAAGAAAAGAAAAACCTACCGAAATAGCTTTTTTTTTCTTTGTACAACTTATTTGTTTTGATTATCAATGTGATAACGTGACGCTAGAGCTTATCAGTATACAGGTAAATCATCACATCTCAATTAACCGATCGAGATAATTACGTGTAATATAAGAACCAATTAAACTTCGACTTAAAGAACAACGGGAAATTTTATACCACTACGGTAGAATCCTTCGCTACGCTCCAGACTAATTAAATTCCTTTGTAAACATTTACCCTCAGTTTCAATGAACTTGTGGTTGTAACTGAATTTAACATTTATATGGTCTGCGTCAAATGGGCTTCAATTGTATTTCTGTCAACACCAATTAATTGAAGATAAACTAATAAATTACTAACTTGTCACTTGATTAAGAAAAAATGTTAACTATTAAATAAAACTCTAAATATATATGTCAATAAAATACCGTATTTTGCGGTATATAAGCACACCATTTTTGCACTTGATGCTGGCCAAGATCCTCATAATTTTGGCCAAAATCGCCATAATTCTGGCCAGGGGTGCTTACTTTCGGGGGGTGCTTACTTACTGCAAAATATGGTAATTTTAATTTAACCTTAATTCAAAAATGTTATATATAGTGGTGACTGTGATGGATTTGATTGCAATGGCGATGGCGGATTTATAAGCGTTTGTCACTCCCTAATCAAAATAATATTAATTAACACAATAAACATTAAAAATTATAAAATAACTTACATCATCATCATGAAATCATCTCTTTCATGAATAATTCTTACTTTAAAAGCTTGATTAAAATTTAATATTTTGTTTCGTGGTCCTATTAAAATTTTTTATCTTTTACATAATTATAAAATATATCTCTATCTGTTTTGTCCTTAAAAATGTATAAAACCAAACCTTTAAATAATAATATAATTAGAATTACTATAAAATTAAATGATTTACACGTACTATTTATTTTTTTTACTTAACTCCCATTCTTCTTAAGTTTGTTTAAATGAAAAATCCAGAATATTTCTAAGAAGAAATAAGGTAGTCTCCTATGAAGGAAGGAAATAAATAAGTTTGCTTCTTTTGAAGGAAGGAAAAATTAGAGCTCTGAATTTGACCTGACAGATCGGGTAACCTGATGGGTTGACCCAAAAAATTCAGGTCGGGTAGCAGATTTAATGACCCAACCTCAGGTCGGGTCAGTCACAGTCAGGTACCCGATCCAACCCATTGACCCGACATATTTTGGTCAAAAATAAGACGTTTCAGCATTTTATATATATAAAAAAATGCCAAACTGACCTGAATCTGACGTTTTTTCATTAAAAATAATTACAAAAATGTCTTTTTTTATTAAAAACGTCAGGTTCGATTAAAGAAACAAAAAAAAAAATGTTTTTTTTATTAAAAAACGTCAAACCTGACGTTTTTTATTAAAAGAAACAAAAAAAATGTTTCTTTAATTAAAAAATGTTGGGTTTAACATTTTTTCATTAAAAGAAACAAAAAAATGTTTCTTCAATTAAAAAACGTCAGGTTTGACATTTTTTCATTAAAAGAAATAAAAAAAATGTTTCTTTAATTAAAAAACGTCAGGTTTGACATTTTTTATTAAAAGAAACAAAAAAAATTTTTCTTTAATTAAAAAACGTCGGGTTTGACGTTTTTTATTAAAAGAAACAAAAAAAAAATGTTTCTTTAATTAAAAAATGTCGGGTTTGACATTTTTTATTAAAAGAAACAAAAAAAAATGTTTCTTTAATTAAAAAACATCAGGTTTGACGTTTTTTATTAAAAGAAACAAAAAAAAATGTTTCTTAATTAAAAAATGTCGGGTTTGACGTTTTTTTATTAAAAGAAACAAAAAAATGTTTCTTTAATTAAAAAACGTCAGGTTTGACGTTTTTTTATTAAAAGAAACAAAAAAATGTTTCTTTAATTAAAAAACGTCAGGTTTGACATTTTTTTATTAAAAGAAATAAAAAAATGTTTCTTTAATTAAAAAACGTCGGGTTTGACGTTTTTTTATTAAAAGAAACAAAAAAAATGTTTCTTTAATTAAAAAAATGTCGGATTTGACATTTTTTATTAAAAGAAACAAAAGAAAACGTTTCTTTAATTAAAAAACGTCAAACCTGATGTTTTTCATTAGAAGAAACAAAAAAAATACGTTTTGGCGTAATAAAAAGTGCCAAAACGTACTTTTCCATAAAATAATTGTAAAAGAAACGTTTTTTTGACCCAAAATATATCAGGTTAATGGGTTGGGTCACGTATCCGAATTGACTTGTGATATTTGGGTCGGGTCACCAAATTTATGACTTGCCTTGGGTCAGGTCAAGTCAATTATCTGACCCGACTTGACTCATTCGGAGCTCTAGAAAAAATAGAAGGGAAAAATAAACTATATATATATGTATGACAAATCTATGTAACTTATAATTTTGAATCTTTTTCAAATAAAACCTAAAGTCCTTACATGTACCGAAAAATCATATGATTAATCCATATGGTGACATATTTTTTATTCTAAAATGAAAATATGTGTATATACCTATTTTACTATATGCGTGAAATTATGAAAAGGCTTAGTTAGTCCTTAAAAAAACCAGAAGAAAAATCAAAAACTGAAAAGGTTGTGATGTAACTTATTCTTCTTCTAATGGCTTACGGTAGCTATATATATGTTGATAATAGTAAAAGCATGTATTTTTGCAAATAAACAGAAAAACATCAAGTGTATGGGCGCATTGTCTAGGGCTTTCCTTTTTTGGTATAAATACATGTGCCCAAAAAATGCGATTTACTAATAAAGATGAATCGCGCTAAGAAAAGAAGCCAAACTAAAATAAAAAGTCACGCTAGCTTGATATTGTTACCGATTACTCAAATAATCAGTGTGCAGTTTAATGCCTATTGTGCTAAATAACCAGTGCTTTGATGGCAATGATTATTACGAATTTTACAGTGCTTTTTTAATGCATTGATTTAACTTACTGATGAATTTAGAATTGAGCACGAAACACGAATTCAACACGAACGAAACGAGCAAAAGAAACTTAGAAATCAAATAATCAAACAAATTTTTTTGCCTATGAAGTACAATCAGGGTGAAATAATCTTAAGAATATAAATTTAAAGCAAAAAATCTTCCTAATGATCCCAACCAAAAATGAATATACATTGCAAGTGTTTTTTCTATTTGTTTTTTATATCTTTTGAGCTAAAATTTTATATAATATTTATTCAGAAAATTTATTTCTTTATAAGGGTAGTGACATACGTTAGTTTTTTACATTTCTTCCCACCCCTTAAAATATTAGATAATATATGTCACTATTATAAATCAAAAAAAAATATATCATTTTGATTTTTTTGATTTACGTTTTTTTGATTCTTTTTTATGATATTTTCTTTTCTTTCTCTTATGTTTTTTGGAACTTTCTACCCTGTTATTGTTGTTGTTATCAATATCAGGAGGATTGTTGTAATCATCATCATCATCCCCATTATAACTATCATTTTCAGAATCTCAGTCATAAATTGGTACTTCAGTCGAGCGATTAAGCCTTTCAAGTGCTGCTTTATTTAGACACCAACTAGGTGCTCCATTAGGTGACACGCCAGTTTCTTGTATATTACCATCAATCCTTTTGTACTTTAAAGTTGTTTGTTTCGTTCTTAACAAATTGACCGTTGGATCGATTCTTTTATGTAATAAAAGACGAAGCTTAAAATATAAAATAAATAAAGAAATTATAAATTAAATTAATAATAATATCCGTTTTTGATAAATGTGTGTGATATTTATATACACATTAAAAATTAGTAAAATAATGTAATATACATACTTCTGGGGAGCGCCACCATTTATCATATATATATATAGACGTTGTTTTTGTTTTGACCGCTTCTTTTACAATTAACTCTTTTTCCAGCCACAACTCCTGATTATTAATGTCTATTTTGTCTGGATCATCGCAAGGATCAAGTGGTTCTTTAATTTTTTTAACTACCGCCTGTATTGTGACTGGCCATTCGCCCTTGGGGTCTGTCTCTTCCCATTCTTCTTAATGGTATTTTGTTTCTTTCAATATTTTAATTAAATCTTTTTTAGGATACCTATTAATATAATTGTCATTGTTTTTAATAAGATAATTCGCTTCAACAACTCTTCTTTTCTTTTTCTATAATAACATTACAAATGTAAAAAAAAATATTATTAGTTATCTAATTATTGTTATCTAATTATTATTCCTTTTTTTTTGCTACTTACATCCTGCATCTTTGAGTTTTTCGCAGTTCTTCTTTTATTATTCTTTATTTTTTCTTCGCCTTGGATTCTAATATTATATTCTCGATGGCGGGAGTGCCAACGTCCATAAAGCATATCTAATAGTTCTTTATTTGTTACTTTATATCTTTTATCAACCAGTTTGCGAAGTGCTGGAAGTAGCTTCGTAACTATCTCGTCTTTCTGTTCTGCCTAAGTAATCTTAATATCTATTTCAAATATGTCTTTTAAGTCAAAATCGACCCAAATAAACACCTCTTTCTATAAAATATATGTAAAAACAAATAAATACACTAAGGCCATATAAACTTGATTTTATGGTTTTCATAATATAAAAATTTCATCAACAACCCGGCAACCCGGCTTTTAATTTTTTTTTTCTAAAATTTTATATGCAAAATTTTTTTTCAATTTTTAAAAAATTCTCACCCGGCATAGTAATAATATAAAAAATTTTTTTTTAAGACTTAACAAAACTAATCCGGCCGGACTATGAAAACCATTTTTACCACTTTGTATCGCCTAATAATAAAAAAAATATTTATTCTAACAAATAAATACACAGGTCGAAAAGTGAAAAATCAGGCATTAATCGGTTACCAATCAGTCACCAATCAGGTACCTGATTGGTGACCGATTGGTGACTGATTGATGCCTGATTTTTCACTTTTCAACCTGTGATATATAAATACTTACTTTAAGTCTTTATCTTGAGTCTAAATACTCAACAACTTTTTCTGAAGATGATGAACTTGCAGACTCTTCTTCGAAAGATGATGATGAGCTTACAAATTCATCATCATCAGATGATGAAGAATCAGTTCCGCTGGTTGTATTTCTGTGCACGTTCTTTTTTGCCATTACTATCGATCCTACTAATTTATATAGGAATAAAAAGTTTTTACATAAAATGACTTAACTAATAGCTGTTATATTTAGCGCATATATAAAATGTTTTTTTACCTGGCACTTATTTGATTGTTATATAGGTTTGACTATGTTTTGTACTTGATAAAAGTATTTCTTCCTCCCAAAAAAGACGTACCCTTTTTAAATAAAAAAATGTGATCACATAAAACGTGTAAAAAATAAATGCAAGATCTTTAAAGCGCGTTCGTGTGATTAGCAAAAACTTTTAAAGCACGTTTGTACAATTAACAAGATCTTTTAGAGTGCGTGTTAAAAAATAAGCAAGATCTTAAAAGCGCATATGACTAAAAAAGTAATTATATCGATTTCTTTTAACTCGCGTTTCTCTCTTTAAATAATTAGCCATTTTTAATAACACATAATTAGCAAAAAAATGAGTAATAATAATAATACCAAAAACTCTATAACTGATTTAATAAAGCCCAAAAAGAAGTAGGTATATCCATGTCATTGTGTTCTTTGTAAAGGCGCAGAAGTTGATCTTCGTGCACAAGAGAAACATACAAGAGATAAAATTTGTGGAGATCAAATGATGATGATTCAAGAAGAAATCAAATAAATGCAATTGCAGCAAGAAAACAAAACAAACCTTATGTTATCTTAGTTGAAAAAAACCTTGCAGGAGCCAGCTCAACTAAGAAACGCAAAAGAGATGACAACCAGCAAATATCGCCTATTGAAAACTCAGCCGATTCAAGTATACCAAATGCATTTTTAAGTCCCATTATGTTGTCATATTTAGTTACACCAAAAAATCTACAACCAGATACTACATTAGATAACATGGTAAATGATGCATCAAAGTCTAAATCCTCATATTTTCATGATCCAGAACCTAACAATGAAAATAATAATGAGTATGATGATAATATTTGGGAAATGGAGTATGATGATGATATTAATAACATAGATCAAGAGGAAGAAAGTTCCCCTAAAAACAATAGTGGTGGTGATGATGATGAGGAACATCATATTTATGATATAGATCAGAAGGGAGAAGGTTTGTTTGCATCTCCTATAATTGATAGCGATGAAAAAGTTTTTGAATTAGGAAATTTGGATGATTCCATAAATACCGAGATTATTCTATGGGTATTTAAATTTCAGCAAAGATATCGACTTTCCGATATTGCACTTGAAGCATTAATTAAATTTTTACATATTCTTCTTATACGCATTAATAAATCACAATTTGAAGGATTCCCTACCTCAATATATAAAGCAAAGAAACTATTAGGAATCATTCAACCAAAAATGTGTATGGCTGTGTGTACAAGTTGTCATAAATTACACAGCGCTAAAGATATTATTGCATATCAGAAGGAAGGAAATGTTGCTGTGATGAATTGTTTACATGAGGAATTCGCAGATAATCCAATATTAAAATGTCGCAATAAATGTAATAATCCACTCTTAACTCTTAAGAAAAATAAAAATGGAATAATTGCTGTATCTCATATGCTCTATTTAAAACCAAGTATTCGTTAGCAGTTGAGCATGCTTTACCAAAGGCCTGGATTTGAAGAAATACTACAGCTATCAGGGGCTCAAAGAAATAATAACTCTACCATCTATTCAGATATCTATGATGGCAGAGTATGGCAAAATTTTCCATTTGATGGTAGCAGCTTTTTTACAACAGAAACCGCAGTCACTCATTTAGGCCTTCTTATTAATCTTGATTAGTTCCAACCATTCTCCTACACGCAGCATAGTACTGGTGCTATTTATGTGTCTATTTGCAATCTTCCAAGGTCAGAAAGGAATAAGCCCGAAAATATTATATATTTGGGTTTCTTATCAGGACCAAAAGAGGCAGGGTTAGAACGCATCAATCATTATCTAGCTCCTATTGTAGATGAGTTTTTAGAACTTTGGAAGGGCTGGAGAGTACCAAAGACTCATAGGTGGCCTGATGGTTTAGATATAAAAGTTGCATTAATTGTTGGATCATCAGACATACCTGCCACTCGAAAGCTGTTTATCCATAAATCTGCAGTAATGAAATGTCATAGATATAAAAAATGTAGTACATATAGTAGAGAATATAAAAAAACCCATTATGAGACTATAATAAATGAGTAACAAGACCTGCAAATCCTTTATTACATAGGCAATATGCTCATGAATGGTTGCGGTGCTTCTCAAAGCCTTCTAGAGAAGCACATTTTAAAGAACTTGGTGTACGATGGTCTGAGTTGCTATGCTTACCATATATGGATCCTATACGATTTGCTGTAGTAGACCCTATGCATTGTCTTTTCCTTGGTGTTGCAAAATGGATAATAAAATCCATTTTTATAAACCAAAATAAATTGAATATGGAGCAACTTCAAACTGCATAAAATAGAATGGATCATGTTAACTTACCTCCTGACATTAGTCGGATTTCTTCTAAAATTGCAATTGGAAACAATGTTTTTTCCAACCTAACTGCTGATCAATGGAAAACTTTTATTATGATTTATTCTACAACTATCTTGTGGGATATGCTAGGTGATAATGATAGAAAAATTTTAGGACATTTCGTTCGGACATGCAATCTTTTAGTGGCAAGATTTATTACAGAGGATGATTTAAAAGAGGCGCAAGAAAGATTAAAAGATATGGCTTATCTCATAGAAAATACATATGGTCCTGAATTCATAACAAGTAATATCCATCTTGCTCTTCATATCCCTGATTATTGCCGTGATTACGGTCCTATATATAATTTTTGGCTTTTTCCATTTGAGAGACTTAATGGATATATAGGTGAGATTTTTTATTTTTGGCTTAAAGTATACAATAGTAAAATATTTTACATTAAAAAAATCATTTTCAACTTTATTCAGGTTCATATCCTAACAGTAACCGGCAAATAGAACCTGAACTGATGAGAATCGTTCTTAAAAACACTTTTGTAGATTATCATTTATCATGTAGATGGTTATCTGGTCTTCTGGAAGAATCTCTTTACCTTTTTATGCCAAAAAAAGCTGTAGGAAGTTTAGCACTCACAGCAGAAAGAGAAGAGCTACAACATTTTCTACTTATAAGATATATGCTTTTCAAAATATATGGTACTGAACCAATACCTGGTCAATTGCTTAAGCCATCATATATATATCGATGTTATTATGCCTTCAGAATTGCGAGAATTCCTATGTGAATGGTACGCAATATTATATGAGAAGGAAAAGGAAAACGTGTTAGGATTTATGGATTTGCATATGAATCAACATGCAAGACTGCAAATTGGTACAGAAATATTCAGATCTATGATAATAAGTCGGCATAAAAACAATGTGACTATACTTGCGCAAGTAACAATGAATCAACTGATATATATCCAGGCGAAGTTCAATATTACTTTAAACATACAATTAGGTTTCCTGAAGGACTAAGGACACACCTTCTGGCATACGTCAAATGGTACAAGCCTGCCACTACTTCAGCTACTCGATTTAAATATAGTTTTATAGAATCGGAAGTGTCAAATACAGAGCTATGGAAAGTTGAGTTCTTTCAGAAAGGGTGTGATTTATTATTAGCAGTCTATAGAATACTATGCAGAGCTGTTAAACTCAAATACGTTACGAAGAAACCGAATCAACAAAAGTATTTTTCTATAGTTCCCTTGAATAGAAAATTTAATTTATAAAGACAATCTTTCCGAAAAATTTAATTAAAACACATGTATATAATGCTTGATTGGTAAAATGACATGTGATATTTTTAGCTGTGTGTACCGAAAAATTTAATTAAAACACGTGTATATAATGCTCTTCGATTGGTAAAATAACGTGTGATATTTAATATATTTTTAGTTATGTGTAATATTTGCCAATGATCCTTTGCAGTGACACGAAAGCATCGATCTTGATAGGTCAGAGGTTTGTTTAAAAAATTTCTTGTAATTGTTATCCAATAAATTTCGTGACTGTGACCTTTTTTTTATTAATTAATTACCGTAAGGAAGGCATTCAAATGCTATACCTTTTTTTTATTAATTAATTACCGTAAGGAAGGCATTCGAATGCTATCCTTTAAAAAATTTAATTTCATGATCGTGACTGTGACCTTTTTTTCAGAAGTTTCATTTTACGTAGAACGTAGAAAATTAAATTATTATTAGGTATACTTACACAAGAAGATCGCAATTTATTTTGTGAAATTCACCATGCGGAAGCAAAAAACAAAATAATTAATTTTTAGTTATATACTGTAAAATATACTATTCTGTCACAGGTTTGATTGTTTCTATTTGATTATTGTCTTATTTACTATGTAAAATCAATAAAATAAGTCCAAATTTAAGAGTTTTTTTAAGAGTTTTTTTTAAAAATGATTACTTAAATAAATTATAATAAACTTAAAATAAGAAAATTTTAAGAGTTTTTTTTAAAAATGGTTACTTAAATAAATTATAATAAACTTAAAATAAGAAAATTTTAGCTCTTAATAATTTAGCCATTATTATTAAGAGCCATTATTATTAAGAAACCATTATTATTAAGAAAATTTAGCCATTATTATTCGGGACTTTGTTTATGTGTAGAAATTGTACGCGTATTAATCAAGTTCTTAGGCAATTTTGGCCAATTAAATTATATTGATAGTGTTCTTATATTTAACAAGAAAAATTTAAATTTTTGGTATTTAAAATTAATCTATTATTATTGATTATGTAAATTGAAATTATCTTATATATACATACACTTAACATTACTTGTGTCAAATTATTATGTTCCTGCGTAAAAAAATTTTCCAGTTATTTAATTATTAATAATATCTCATTATTTTAATTACCTGCGTAATAATTATTATAAAATTACATAATTTTTCTCAACGATTGCATATACTATTATTATTTTAAACAATTCTGGCGAATCCACTATAATGTTTATGCAAAAAAAAAATCAAAATAAATTTAGAAATTGAAATGTCAATCTATATAAATCTGGAATTTAATTTTGCTAATCATTTTGATTCCAAATTCTTGGGTAAATTTTTCAAAAAATGATCGTTCGAGGTTATCTTGTTCTTATTTAAAAAAAATTTTTCAGTTATTTAAATTATTAATAATATCTTATTATTTTAATTACCTGCGTTAAAAAAATTTTCCAGTTATTTAATTATTAATAATATCTCATTATTTTAATTACCATTATTTTAATTACCTACGTAATAATTATTATAAGATTACATAATTTTTTTCTTGACAAATTATATTTATTATTACTTTTTGATGTTCTTAACAAGAAAATTTTATTTAAAATTAATCTATTATTATTGATTGTGTAAACTGAAATTAACCAATTACAATTTTGATATTTATATTATTACGTCAGAAGAATCATTTCAACTTTAACGAAATATTTGTATTTTTCAGATTAAATAATTAATTGATATATCGTAATGAATTTCTCCTATTGTTGCACTTTGAAGCGTGATTCTTCAGAGGCATTTATATATACATACACTTAACAATTTAAATCATTACTTGTGATCAAATCATTATGTATTTATGTGCTTGCGTAAAAAAATTTTCCAGCAAATTTAATTTTAAAAATACCTCATTATTTAATTACGTGCGTAATTATTAATTATTATTATAGGATTACATGGTTTGGCCAATTTTCCTCAATGAATGATGTATATACTATTTAATCGAATGGCGTTTATTATTATATATAATAATACAATTAAAAAAAAAAAATATAAAAAGAGATAAAATTCCTTTTTAGAAAAATCAGAAAGTTATCATAATAAAACAATTTTACAATTTATCATAATAAAAAATTTTTCAATTCATCATAATAAAACAATTTTACAAAATCAAATTTTAAAATGTTTTTTCAACCTTCACCGAACAATTCAGAAAACAATTCAGGAAACGAGAGTGACTCATTTATTCCATTAGGAAATTCTCCGTCCTTAGAAAATTATGAAACGGCAGGCCCGCCAGATGTACAAATTGCGACAGCAGGTCCGTCAGATATACAAATTGCGACAGCAGGTCCGTCAGATGTACAAATTGCGATGGCAGGTCCATCAGATGTACAAATGTCAGATGTACAAATTGCGACGGCAGGTCCATCAGATGTACAAATTGCGATGGCAGGTTCGTTAAGGAAAAGAATGGATGAAGAGCCTATTAGTAAAGAAGCAAAAAAAATTAAACTAATAAAAGGTAAAAAATATATTATATGTATATTATTTTAATAATAATCTGACTTTTTTTGAGAACTCATCAAATATCACAATTTTTTTTATTCAGACACAATTATAATTCTTTTGGAAGATCATCTCGAAGTTCAACAATTTTTGGAAACAATTTCCGCAAATGTGTTGAAAAACGGGTTAGTTGCTCTAAAGAGCATATACAGCAGTAATTGCAAGAAAATAGTTCTTGATATAGACGAACAAAAATTAACTGCCGTACTGCTGTCGGGATCTCTCTATGTAAAATCCACGTTTTACATGGGAGAAGAAAGTTTCATAGAGCTAGAAACTAACAGATTTAGAAATAATCCCTATATACTTCAGCGATTACCTACTGAAGTTAATAGAAATAATACAATAGGCATTGACCTTTTGTTTAAAGAAAAGACAACAGATGATGAAAATATAAAGAAAGAAATATTAGCTGTTGCCAGGCTAATATATCATTTGAGGACAGTTCAGGACCGTCTACCGGAAAATCGTCTAATGATGAAACCAGATTATAATAATAAAAAATATATACAAAATCTCCAAGAATACTATGATAATTATCTTAGTAAAGGAATGGAGTTCAATATCTCCAAAATAAAAGGAGCTATTTCTCTTGCGAGAAATATTGAACAAGATCTTAATTTAAAAATTGATTCTCTTAATAAAATAGTAGACGATAGTAACATGTCTTCCGTCATGAAAGACATGCTCACAATATTAGATGAAATAAAGTCAGAAACTGAAATACCAGAATTGTCGAGGCGAAGAAACACAAGAAAATATGCTTATTTTTACGAATTATATATGAAAATACTAGAAGTAGTTGCTTCAGAACCAAAGCAATTTGGAGAGACAAATGCTTCAAAGGCCAAGAAAAGACTTGAGAAGGAGGAGGAAGAATCAGGAGAAGAAGAAACCATACTGGGAACTTTTATAAAAAGAGCTGAAGAAAAACTAACGCAAAGATAATGGAGAAGCTACAAAACTTCAGCTGAAAGAATAAACAGATTGTGGAATATATGCAATAAAAATTTTGCTATTCTCGACTTGGTAACCATTCTCATGCCCAATTTATTTGAACGGTTACTAAGTAAAGAAAGTGCAGAATGATAGTTTATAATAATCGAATAAGGAATCTATTATACCCAACAGGAGTATAGGGATATCCAAAAGCAAAAGGAGGAGGAGAAAAAAGTTACTACTGATGATGACAGTAGTAGTAGTAATAGTGGAAGTGAAAGTGAAAGTGGAAGGGAACAGGGAAGTGGTAGTAGACGAGGAAGGGGATGAGGAAGTGGGTGAGAAAGGGGACGGGAAAGTAGAAGTGAAAGTGGAAGTGGATGAGAAAGGGGAAAAGGAAGGGGAAGGGGAAGAGCTGGCAGTAAAGGAAAAGCAAAAGTAGTCTAAGGAAATAAATTTTATAATCATATAACTCAATCAATTTTTTAATTGAAAAAAAAGTCGTTAAAAGTTTAAGTTATAAAATCCTAAAAATTCTAGTACAGCATTCAAATAGTAATAAAATAAAGTTTATATAATGTTAATTGATATCAAAGATTATTTTCCGTATTGATTAGCTAGTACAGCATTCAAATAGTAGTTTATTAAGGATAGAATGATTATAAAATAAAGCTTATATAATGTTGATTGACATCAAAGATTATTTTCCGTATTGATCGACAACCGGCCCTAACCCTTATTAATATTAGTTGAAAGGCATGGATTTAAACTATAATAATTATAAAAGGATTATAATAAATCTAATTAATATTAGATAATATTTAATTTATTTGAAAAAATATCAATCCAAATAAGCTTTTAAAATTGAGTTTTATTAATGAAAAAATTAATAAAAAATATTCTTTACTTTACAGAAACTTCAAGATCGTAGCGATGGCTTAATGCGCAGTAACCGCATACTATATGTAATTTCTTTACGATTACATAATGTGGTCCCTATGCATTTATAACGCAGGTACTGCGCATTAAGGCCCAGTGTTGGCACTTGGCCATTTTGCCATTTTGGCTGGCCAAATCGGCCAAAAAAATTCTTGGCCGCGGCCAAATGCCAACACTGCATTAAGCTATCACTACGATCTTGAAGTTTTCTGTAATGTATATAATATTTTTTTACAAATATACATGCTGATATTAAAATGTCTGAGAACAATATTAAATCTTTACAAAATTTACATCCTGCTTAAATTTTTAACGATATTTTTTTTCCAAATTAAAAAATCGATTGTGAGACAAAAAAATAAGATAAAAAGGCTGATAACCTTTACACATTTAGCAACAAGTCTTCAAAATTTGAAGTTATTATAATCACTGGTTTTTTATTTTTTTGCATTTTTTTGCATCCTGTACGTATGATTCTAATTGGAATTTATAAAATTATTTTACTCCGGCTCTGTAAAAAATCTGATTCGTGTTTTACAGTGCGTTATCTCTATACTCAACCAATAGCTTATAGTAATAGTTGGTTAACTTCAAATTCTTAAAAAAAATTTTTTTATTAAATATTTAAAAAAGTTAACCAATAATTTTTATAGTTCATAGTTTAAGCTTTAAGAATTATTAGTTAGTTTATTAAAAAAATAAATATTGGCCGTATTTTAACATTTTAAATATTGATAATTCAATTATAGCGTCTAAATTTGAGACTATACAATTTTTGTGTAACAAATTTTAAATTAATGTAATATGATGTATAAGGTTGCTTGCCGAAACCTAGGAGTTTAGGCAAGATGGCGTTTCACCGAAAAGTGAAATTCTGCCAAAACTATATAAAGTTATATTAAAAAACTGGCAAAACTTTGGAGAAAGGCGAAACTGCCGAAACTTATTATAAATGCTGAAACTGCTGAAACTCTGCCGAAACTATAATAAATCTATAGTAAAATTTTGACGAAACTAATCGTAGGATTTTGAGGAGGTTTAGACAAGCAACCTTAATGATGTAATGTGTAGGTCATAATTATTTTTGTATCAAAAAATCATCATTTATGTATTTTTTTTAAAAAAAAATGCCGCGAAAAAAGAAAATTGCTAGAGCTGCAAAAATAAGAGTTAAGTCATGACTTCGTAATTTAAATACAGGTCAATTAGTCGCAAATGATGATGATGATGACGAGTATATACCATCTAGTGATTATTCAGAAGATAGTTTTGATAATGAATATATTGATAAAAGAATTAAAAATTTGGATAATTCTTTTTTAATATGGTCAAGTAATGCACATAATAAATTAAAAAAATCATATACCGGAAATTCTAGAGCAACAAAATTTAAAAAATATGGCCCTTCAGGAACATTTACAAAAACTGCTAAATTATCACAACCAATAACTAATTTTTTTCACAAAAGTCAAGAAGTGGTGAATTTAAAATTGGGGATGATTATGAATTAGAAGATGAAAGAAATAATGATAAATTAGAAGATAATGATGAAATAGAAGACGATATTGATGAATTAGAGGAGGATAATAATGATGAATTAGATGATAATGATGAAGAATTAGAAGAGGATAATGGTGATGAATTAGAAGATGATGATGAAGAGTTAGAAGAGGATAATGGTGATAAATTAGAAGATAAGTATGATGATGACAAATTAAAAGACAAAGATGATGATAATGGTATGGGAAATGAAAGTGAACTTGAAAACAATAATTTCAATTCTAAATTAAGCAAACTTGAAGAGATTCTTTCTGGAAATCTGAAAAAAATGATGGCATATGATTATTTGTGTTATAGAGCTGTGCATATGTTTTTTAAAAAGTGGAAATATGATAATTTAAATAAAGAACAAGCAAGTTTACATTCTGCCAAAGTAGTTTATAATAAAGGAACTTAAAAAGCAAAACAAATAAGAATATGGGCAAAATGTTGGATTGAATATGGGACTTTGCCAAAATCTTTACAAGGTTGTCATCAAAAAATTAAGTCAATAATTGATGATGAAGATGTTATTGAACGAAGTTTATTATTTGTACGCGAAAAAGGAGGAAAAATAACTCCCAAGAAATATCAAACTTATGTTAAAGAAGTATTATTTTCACGATTAGGTATGGAGGAATCTAAAAAATCAATTTCTATTAAACTTCTTGTATTTGGTTAAAAAAATTAGGGTTAATACTACAATCAAGAAAAAAAGGTATATACTTTGATGGTCATGAAAGAGAAGATGTAGTTGAGTATAGAAAAGAATTTTTAGATAAAATGTTAGAAAAGTTTATGCCCACTTTTGAGGGAGAAAATATGGAACAAAAAAATCTGGTACTTTTATCCAATAAAAAATTACATATTTTGATCACTCACGATGAATGTTTATTCTATGCAAATGATGATAGGCCAGTAGTTTGGGCTCCTATTGGTGAACCTCCTTTAAGAAAAAAAGGACAAGAAAAATCTATAATGGTCAGTGATTTTCTTTTAGAAACGGATGGAAGATTAAAACTAAATGAAGATGAAATTTTATTATATCCTGAAATTCCAGTTGAAGCTAGAAAATTTTTAAGACCTGGAAAAAATGAAGAAGGATGGTAGACTGCAGAGCATTTATTAGACCAAGTAATCAATTATGCTATTCCTATTTTTGAAGCAAAATATCCTAACGCTATTGGCATTTTTACTTTTGATAACAGTACAAATCATGGAGCAATAGCAAAAGATGCATTAATATTAATAATATGAATGTAAATCCGGGAGGAAAGCAAGTAAGAATGAGATCAACTTTTTTTGGTCCAAATAATACTTTTCAATCAATGGTATTTCCGTCTAATCATCCAATATTTCCAAATCAACCTAAAGGAATGAAACAGATTTTAATTGAGAGAGGTTTATGGTATAACGGATTAATTGGCCATTGTCAATTATGCAAACTAAAGATTGATGATATTACAAGAACAGATTGTTGCATGCATAAAATTTTATCTTTAGAAGAAGATTTCAAATCACAAAAATCACAATTACAAGAAGAAATTGAAAAAAGAGGACATATATGTATATTTTATCCTAAATATCATTGTGAACTAAATTATATAGAGATGTATTGGGGAGCTGCGAAGAGATATACAAGAGAAAATTGTAATTATACTTGGTCTAGTTTGCAAAAAACAGTTCCAGAAGCTCTAGATTCAATTTCATTAATTACAATTAGAAAGTTTGCAAGGAAATCTTAGAGGTATATGGATATCTACAGAAAAGGAATTACTGGAAAGGTAGCTGAATATGCTATTAAAAAATATAAATCACACCGTCGTGTACCTGATACAATTTATAATGAAATCAATTAAATAAATTTTATATTTTTAACGATGTAATAACCGAAAATATAATAAAATAGAATAAGGATAAATAATTAACCGATGGGTAAATAATTAGCCAATAAAATTATATTTATAGTTTAGTTTAGTGTAATGAGATAGTCATACGATAATAGATCTTCAAATTTTATTAGAAATATTAGAAATATTAGAAATATTTTTCTTAAAAATGTATAAATACAAGTGGATTTCGATAGGAAATTTGGCAGTTTAATTTTTTGGAAAATAAAAAATTTTAGTTCGTCCTTAATAATAAACTAACACATTCTTTTAGCCTTTTTCTTATGAGCAAAAAGTGCCACATTAATTATTTTTAATTAATAGTTTATTAATATTTTGTAACTAATTTTTATTTTAAACCAAGCATAGATATTATATGAACTCAACACGTCAGTGGCAACATATGATATTTTATTTTAATATCCTATGGGCAGCGTGTCACAACGATAAATATTAAATCATATGGCTAATTTTAATTGGCTCTTATTAATATCATGTGATGCTTACATAATTTGAAAAATTGAGACTTTTTTTTTATTTAATAAATTAATTTCTTTTTAGGTATAGAATTTATTTTTTTTTGTTTAAACAAAATTGAATCACTGGATTAAATTTTATTTCAATTTTTCTAAAAGTTGAGTA